GATAGACTTGTTGTTCAAGTTTGCCTGATTAGTATTGCATATCCGTCGGATCTTTTCGGATACGAACTCAAAACAATACCCTTGCGAATCAGCGACCTACGTCACCGAGCTTTGAGTGAATTTGGCGGACTGCCCTGACTGATTTCTCAGTGTTATATAGCGTGGCTCATCCTCGGCTGTCATGTATAAGATGTGGATGGCCCTTCGAGCTTATGCATCTTTTCTGAGTACTTGTGGACACTCCACACTTAATCATTTTATAAAAATAATTTCCCACTTCATTCATTTATTCACTTCAGTGGATGTATGATTATTATAATTAACCGTAATTGCATACTCGCTGCCAAGGTCAGTGTAATCGCTTTACGGAAATAACATTCTCGGCGTTCGAACCCGCAATGCAAGTTCATTTCATAAAGCCACATCAAATTTGCCGGATTTTAAGATGACTGGATTCTAGTTTACATATTTTTCACTTTAGAAATGCATACACATCGGCTAGAAGCTCAAGTAAATGTCGGGTTCAAAATAGCCGTGTTCGAATGACTTGCCAATGCTCTTGTAGTGCCCATAACAAAGCCAAGAATCCTTTGATGAAGCAGGGACAAATATAGGAACAATGAAAATTAGGCAGCTACATGAATCAATGGTGCTGGGTGGCACTTTGACATGTAACACTTACTTCCAAAATGTACTGTCCCGGAGAAAGACCGGCTGCAGCCGCTGGACTGTTGGGAAAAATACGGTCCAAAAGTTGGTTAGCTGGTGGTTGGACAACGTTAAATGCAACCGGCCCGACTGTAAGATAAGCGAGGTGAAACGTCAACGAACTTTTCATTGCGTGATAGAGCAGAAGAAAATTATAGCGTCATATTTGTGCGTACTCACGAACCGAGCCTTTAGAGGTATTTTCTTTGCCGACGTATTACTTATAAGTAGCTCAAAATCTCATCGCTAAGGCAGAAAGGACGGCACTTCTCACAGTACTTTAGGGAATCGATGGACAAAACGCTGAACCCGTCATTGTGAATTGTAATAACATCGATCTAAAGCGGTTGATCGTTGCCATAGAAAATTCAGCTTAATCACAGGCTATGTATTCTACCCCGCTTTACCTTGGCAAACGTACATACATGCAACCATACCGAATTGTAAAAGTCTGGTATGCCTATGTTGAACTATAGATCGGAGGAATTAGACTTGAAAGTTGGATAAGACTACTAGTAAAACACAAGTAGCAGCAGGTGAGATGCGTTGTTTGTAACATTAATAACCAAAATATCTACCTTGGTTGGCCAAGGCAACAAATATTTAACAGCGTTCAAATGGGGATTGGATCGTTGAAAATTAGTAACCTATGCTGAACCCAACAGTTTGAAATGCGCGGTGTCGCACGGTGAAATGCGCCAAAAGTTTCCTTGGTAGAAGTTGAACAGTAAAGCCTCTAGCAGCCGTGCAGCATCGAAGTCTGACCCAAACTATAAGCAGTGACTCAACTTGTAATTGTTGCATTAATCATACAGCCTTGCATAAGTTCTGCTCTTATGCAGAGCTACTTGACAATGCTCAAGGTATTAATACATGCATTCAGTACGTCAGCAGTTGGGGAAAAGCGATAACTACATTTATTCACCATGGCAGATGGAATTTCAAGTAAGCGTGTGACTAGAGAATTTGCGGCGGTCATCCTGAAAGACCTTGTTTAATCATGCGCAAAACTTAACCACGCCGAGCGTTGTAGGGCTACAACATCCAAATTTACTTGGCCCATAAGCGTATATCGGCATCAAAAATCACTATCCATTTCAAAAAGGAAGGCATGCAAGAAATCAGAAATAGCAACTGCATGCCCTTAGTGTTCCAAGCGAAAATAATATTAGAAGGTACTTCTACGTAAACCAAAACATTGAAATCTGGAACCGCCTCCCTATTTGAAGAAGAGCAAGCGGATTGCAACCATATTGCAAGAGCTGGTTTTAACTGTCTGGCCGTACAACACGTAAGATAAATGTCGTAAACCAATTTCAAAAAGAATTGACATTTGAAGATAAGACAGAATTCGAGGTTTTGCTTATAACAAATATGTATAAAATGTATCTAGTATGTTGTTTCTATTTGGCCAGGTCCTCGTAAAGTGGTGCATCGAAAGGAAGAGAAAAAGTTGACATAAACCACTTCATGCGATTTTCCTGACCACCTTGTGAAAGCGTACATCACGAACACAAAAACGTGTGTGCGTTGCGGCAGACTTGCATACTAACATTGAGATAATCATTTATATATCCACGCATCATATTTTGCCTACTCAGCCACGCCTACATTACAGCCATACCAAAGGGTGAGATAGGAAGGAAACGCTGATTACAAATATCTATCTTCAATCATCTTTATCATTCGTTTAATTTTACTTAGCTACTCATTACTCGTTGCCCTCAGGCAAACATATCAATCAACAATGAGAAGTTAAACGATTCTGTCTACTAAAGCATTCATCATCTGCATTTTTTCACTCAATCACATAGGTAAGTTTATAGTAAATTCGTAAGGCTTAGGCCGGTTGAGCCATTTCAAACACGTCTGCCTCATACAACAAATAAATCTCAAATTTCTATTGGTCTCTGCTAACACCTTCGATTACTCAGCTGAAGAAAACACCTCCATCTTATGCTACCGCTTTACAGAATGTCTCAGCGTACAGCAAACCTTTAGCGGAAATTAAATGCTGCAAGTTTGGATTTCTGTTTAAATATTCTCTCATCACCACACAATTTTATTTCATCCATCACTGAATACTGAGAATAGACAGCGAGAAAATAAAAATCTGTGTTGCTCCATCCTAGGTGGATCGGGCACATGCGCGGAATCGCTTCGCTGATTCCTGCGCGGTGACAGTATGTTGCGACTGCACTACATATTATCCGGGTGCGATAAGCTCCAATATCTGTAGTCCGCAAAATGGGTGACAAGAAAGATCTTAACTTCCGATACCGATTTCACCTCGACTAGCGTCTCCGGTGATTTGTTCCAATATTTCACCACTCGACGCTCGAAGCCTAGAGGGTGAGCGGTATGTTTTGATTTCGGTACGAAAAGTTTGTGCCCGCGTTCGCTTGTGCTGCTTCGTGCGCGACCGTGAAGCAGCTGCTTCAACCTAGAGGAGTAGCCCAGGTGAAAAATACGATGCATCATTGGGTGATCAACTCAAAGCCGGCAAGGTAACAGGGTATAAGGCTCTAGTCTCCTACATCTGTCTAAGTAAGACATACCCCGTAACCTTGAGATCAGCCAGGTAGCTACATGCTGAACGCGTTCCAGTCCCGGCACCAAATCTAAGGTGAACGGGCAATGGGCGGATGAACCGTACTCAATCCCCGGTCCTCTTATGGAAGAGAACAGACGGGTATCAATCTCTTCAGACCAAGTGCATAAGCTGAGTCTAAGTGCTCAATGCAGGCGCGTTTGCCTTATTTACTCTCTGTTCTTGTTGTCGACAGACTTCAGATCACAGCGTGAGGGTAACTCTAGATACTTTACGGAACTAGTGGGATGCCGCGCTTGGCCGGCAAGGGTGTATGCACCCATATTACCACCCCTTCCCAGACTCATAAACGAGGACTTGGTCAAGTTGCCCGGTAGGTCAACTTCTGAAGATAATTGGTATAGGCGGTCGAGGTCTTGCTGAACGACCTCACTGTCGCCGAGAGAATAAATAATCATCCAAATCTTCAGCTCATCTGCAAAAATGCGTAGCGCGTCAGAAGAAGCAGAGGCACTTTATTTATGCGGGTTAAGAATAAGATTGGCTCCAGCACTATGTCTTGGTTTACACCGCTATAAGAGGGTTACCATTCTTATAGGAGGTCATCCAATTTTACCCTCACTTCTCCCAACGAGGAAGTCACCGATCCACTGGTGCAGTGCATCACCAACACTATACATCCTTAACTTTTGAATGAGGACCTCATGGTTCACTTTATTGTAAGCTTTCTTGAAATCAATCTAGATAACTTCCCCTGACATCCCCAGTTCAACGATTTCAACCACTCCTACAACGTCAACAGCTGATTGGCGATGCTGGAGCTGCGCTTCATGAAACCATGCTGTGCCGACGTTAGTAGGTCTTTCGACTCCTGCAGCAGAAGGAAGCCCTTTTTCACAAGCTTTGCGACAATCTTCGCCAAACCAATGATGAAGTAAATCCGCCGGTAATTATCTAAATTGCTTGGGTCATCGGCTTTTCGAATCGGCTAAGAACTTCAATTCGTTCTTCAATGCACCCTCGGACAGCGATCTGTTGAATAGATCCGTCACCGCAGGCAAGATGATAGCCCAGAAAGACGTTAAAATACGCGGGTGAAGTCCAGAGGGTCCGGCAGGTTTCGTGCCGCCAAGGCTGGCGAGTAGCCTGTGGACATCTTCTATACTGCAATCTGGCCATCGAGTTCAGTAGGAGTTGCACACTTTGAGCTAGGTATGGGCGCATGCACCTATTCCGGATGATCCATGTTTGGCGGACACGTAGGACTACCCGAAAATTTCCGATGCGGTGGTTACTTTCTCCATTATCGTTAAGCCGCTTCAATTCACTGATAACAAAATCCTTGGTTTCGTCCGTACAGAGTGCATATTAGCAGGATGTTACGAATTATTACGCGCCTATTCGATACTTTCTCCTTGAAAAATATGGAGGTGCAAAACACGATGTTTATTTCTGTCCAAAACATGGACTACACTGTGGATAGTAAATGAAACAATTGTAAAAATATATTGATGATGTAAATAGGCATGTGTCACTCAAACTCGAGGATATATATTCTTATCACTGGTTTTGTGTCATACCTGCATAAAATTTAAGCTGTTCATTACAGAGAGAACCGCTACATTATTTGCAAAGTCAGCGAATGACAGATAGAATGGACGTTTTAACAACCTGATGATTTAAGAGCCACTCAGTCGTCGCACCAACTGAAAAATAAGCAGCGACTTGGGGATCACATGTTTCCACACTGAACGGTCCAGGCGAGGAAAAACTGACAGAGACGGCTACATTAAGTGTCTGGAACCGGCATCTGGATAAGGCTTTATAAATATGCAACTAGAATAATGCGGTAGATAAGATACATTGTTACCCAAAGTGGATCACGTTTTAACAAACCTCGTACCAACAAGGGTGTTGTCAGGTGAATCACTCATGATTTTTCAGCTTCTGGCTAAAATGATTAAGGAACAAGACTATTACAGCTTTTTTATTTCTTTCAATTCTCATCATTTTTATCCCCGTGCGACACAATTCAAAGACTTTTGCCACCTTAAAGTAATATCATTCAAATAAAAATGCATGTCACATCGCCAAGCTGTCGGAATGACGCTTTCTACTGTTTTAAATTTTACCAAGATTTGTACCAAAGAACGGATACTGTGGGAGGTGAAATCTTATTTACCAAATACCGGAACTATGCTGCAGTAAATAAACTATTGCTCGTCAAATGGTTCTCACATTATGTAGAGGCAGGATAAATCAGCTTTCAAAATATATATCAAAACAAGCCAGATTTACGGTGGAACAGTATCTATACAGTCCCGATCAATCCATGTGTACATCATTTTTAGATATTGGTGTCAGATTTCGGTTGAACAAAATCTGTCGTTAAAAACATAATGGATCGTTCTGAAGAGATCTCTTAACGTTTTTATTTTGGATGTCAGGAACAAGGAAAGGCGTTTTTATTCGCGAAACTGTCACAAAAGCTGGTAACCTGACACCGCTACTTCTAAGTTTTCAGTTTCATCAGTTTAAAAGAATTAGGCATTCACACTAGTAGCTCATGTCTCAGAATGCTTATCATCCGCTGCCGTTATGAGTTGGTTGGCAAAGTGGGGCATAAAAATGTCGGTTAATGGATAGGCGCACGTGTAGTTTTTATACGTGATTGGTTCAAAAAACGTGCTTCATAGTGATAACAAATGCGATGGACGAACCGATTATTTTGATAAAAGTTACTGCAGCTAGACACAGTCGGACAGCCACCACACATTGAGGAAAACACCAGATGATCGGACTGTCCTGTTTCGACCCATCGGTAGCGCATCCTCGGGATCAAAATATTCCACTGAGCTCTCAAGTAACCGTGCTGGAGTGCCGTGACTGATTTCTAACAAGCAGCCAGCCCTGTCCACTTCATTTGTACAACATGCATGACATTGGGGATAAGCCACATTTTACCACCGTTAGAAATCCGCCAAGAGGTCCGCCACCGTGGCACATGGCTCAGTGGTATAAGCCAGTGATTCGTTAGATTAAGATCAAGGGTTCTGATCCAGTGTTACCCGGCAGATGCACTCAGTGATGAGTCGCAACCGGACAAAACAGTCGTCTAACGTGCTGCTGTATGTGTGATGGCTGCCTGGCAGAGTCTATTTACGGTGAATATTCGCAGACAGCCTAAATCTTCCCGCTACTCTCTAATAAGCCGAAACTTTATGAGATACCAACAGGCCAACCAACATCGGGTAACGGCACTGCTACTCAATCTTGCTGTGGCAATACAAGTGCGCTGTGAGCTCAAAGCATGATGCCGTTTGAAGTGATTAATGACATAAATGGTAAATGGTAAAAAATTGCTTTAAAGCACATTTCTCAAGTGAGATGACACTTATGCAGGATCACCTGGAATATCCGAAGTTAGTCAAGTACATCTTACTTACCATTTTTGTGATTGACCTTTGTGGGCCGTGATTCAATGGTCATCCATAAACTAGCGAACACCTACGTCCGGTTCTATAGTCGGGTTCACTATTCACGAAAGACTTAGTTACCACCTAATTTTCCTTGAGGTTCTTTCACTGATAACAAAGGAGTATGCTCATCGCTTTCATTTTTTGTGATGCTCAGTGTGATTCACTTTATTAGGAGAATGTCGACAAACGCTTGGTGAAAGAGCATAAATAGAAGCATTTGGAAAAACCTCTAAAAATACTTTCCATTGCATACTGAAATGTAAACTATTAACCAAATAGACTGCTATCAAAATTTTCTGGATTAATATGGTCACCATCACCACTGCTACAATAACTGCACTCTCCGTGCGATTCAACCAATGGAATCAGTTTTCAACTATATTTGTGCTAACCTCAAAATTGCACATGTCTATTAGGTAACTCGAGGGGACACCCACCCAGAAGCAATATCACCTGAAAGTTACTTTATTAGGTATCTCAAAGCAAACAGACTTCACCTTGCCGCCGTTACCTGATGCTTGAATCAAAACTTCGCGAAGTTTAAAGCATATTCTATCGAAAGCTAACCCCGATTTGGCAGCAAACTTTTTAATTTGTTAAATTAAATATATGACTTTTTATATATGACTTTTTATCCCAACAACCCATTAATGTATTCCAGCTCAGACATCGCTATTTCCACAAAAGCTCTCTGGGGATAAAACGGTATCTGCAGTGCGTAGAACCATTTAAACGTTATTCGTGTAAATTTATAAAATTCGCTTAGCTAAAACTAAAACAAATCGATTTGTTTTAAGCGACTTTAGTTAGTACGCACCTTCCCCAGTTGTTCCACGACCCCTGATTTGGAATCCGAATCCAGTGTTCCCGCGATGCAGAGTGACCACGCTGGTCGTTTGAAATTGTGGTCCCGGACTAAAGGTATAATAAAATACACAGGTTTATGTCAATTATACTTTGCTTCCTTTCAAAACGTGTCTGTATCATAAAAGCTTGTTAAAATGTCCATTCCAATTGGACCCACTTCGTTTATAGACCTATCACAGTAAATGGAAACCCATAGCCGTCGGAGTATAAAACGAACCGATTTCTTATCCCTATCCATTTGGCTTCACTCATATTTCCTCCACACCGTCTTGTCTTTCTGAAAACATAAATTTGCTACTAATTATTGGGTGTAGTGACAAACTTTCGCTACGTAATTCCTGAATATTCTTTCCTCAGGCAGCTTCGTGGTTGCTCGTTAATTTTCACACTCCTACAAGACTGCATTAAGATGAAGCAGTTCTCATTTCACCTTAAGCACGGCATATGACTTCAAATGTTTGAGAACTAGCTAACCTGGGAACAGAATGCATTTGGCATTAAAAATAAGAAAGATAAACATCGGGAAAAGCCAAAAGAGAGATTTTTCAAGTATAAAATGAGAACAAGACCTTCGAATTATGTTGTCGTACGACATGTACTGAACCTGCACCATATCGTTTAGTAACCGATGTTTTAATGTCCGAGAACCACGCTTTTTAACACCAGCTGACATGCTTTACGGCTGCGTTGCACCGGTGAGTAATAGTATTTAATTGCATACTATCCTGTTTCTGTAATTATTCAGTACCATTTGCAACTGACAAACAAGCAATTGACCTGTTTAGCTAACTTCTGAATTTCTGCATGTTAAGTCAGATGGAAAAGTGAAACACTTGTACCATGGGTTTGAACAGCAGTGGAAATATTGACTTGAAATGTCAAAAGGAAAATTATTCAACATTTCACGAGTTCAAGCATTGCTAGAGTTTAAAGTAGTATTCTCAGTGAATTAACATCTTGCGAACTTATTATGTCTATAACATGACATGCTGAGTATTCGCCCACCGCAAGGTACACTTGGGTCCTTACCGCAGAACTGTCAGCATCGGAAGGACAGATGTAAAATATAAAGGTAAAAAAAGATTTGCACTCTACGTGGTAGAAAGTGCTCTTCAGAAATGACCATTCGACACACCCATACAAAGAAGATATATGAAATGGTTGATCAGATTACTACGAAAACGGGCCGGTTTTTTAAGTTGAAAGGGCACAAGATTACGTGTAGGTAACTGATTGAACTGTGGTTCTGTTAAATAGAAATTTATATAGGTATGGCGTGATCAGATGTTGGACAAAAGCAAGCACTTTGAAAAATTGTCCCATTAAACTAAATAATCAATGCAATGGTAGACGAACACTTCGACAGAGTAACATTTCGCCTGCTCTCGTCAATCGCAGACGCGATAACTGTAGGAGGTGAATTCACATAAGTGTAACAAACGTCGGTGAACTAAATGATATTGGTAATATAAACTGCAGCCAAATTTAAGCTACTGGTGTACAACGTGGAGAAAAAATATGTTTATTTGTTTCTGTATTCATAGGTACTGAGATCGAAAGCAACATTGGCACATGCTAAGGAATGCTCTCAAAAGCACTTTTGCAACCGCCCGGGTGCAACTTATCCACACAACATGGCTCTAATGTCCTTGAAGTCTGTCGAGCATCCTGACCTCCTAAATTATCTACCGATCTACCTGCGGTTGTGAGGACTATATGTCAATAAGACTGAACGCTCATTGACTAAAAGCGTACCCGAACAACTACCAAGGTGATTGCGATAGTTGAAATCCCAACACGACGCAGCAGATCAGGTAGCCAGGCGGAGCTATTTCTCCTTTAGCAGAATGGATTTTTTTATCATTCTTCCTCACGTGGCCACACGTACAAAATAATCCGTGCGATAGGAATCCGAAACCACCGGTCCTTGATGAAGCGCTATCAATCAAGAAGAAAATTCCGGATCGGTGCGCGTAAAATTTATTGTGGGTCCGTCAGATTTTCTTGTTTCTGATTTTCAGTTTGCATTTTTTCACGAACGTACGTTTCCTGTTTACACGCTGTGCATACTACGTTTGTGACTAACGGCATTAATGGCTGACATGCCGAACAACCTCCGCGTGGTACCGGCTGGCTGGATCGGGTTTCTCCCGTTTCAGCAAATAGTTCGGCAGCAGTCTTCTAAAACATGGTGGGTATTCGCCCGGCAAGCGTCCTCCTCATAAAAGCCACTTATGTCCGTTTAACAACATTGCGACGTAACGAAGGCAACTTGCTACTAAAGAAAGTTTGGGCTAATGTTTCACTCTGGTGGAGTATTGTATTGCAGCAACGTGATGTTGAAATTAGGTGAAGTATGGGGCAGCGGTTTGGCAAGCGTCCAAAGGAAAGTCCTATGAACTGAAAAAATCAGTCACTAGTTCCCAGTGGGTGTGATTCCCTCAATTCGTTTTGATGCCTTGCGAACAGGCTCGGGGGTGGTGTCCCCTAAGTCAATTCTTCTATCTCAACTTGAGAACCAGGCAGCATCGTGTCCCCTAATGAAACCATAGATTTCATGCGTTGTACTCAGTTTTATTTTTGCTACAACTGCACTTGCCTTTGATCTCCATAGGTTTAATTGCTCCATGTCTATTCGTAGACTGATGCAAAAATATATATAACGATAGTGATCAAAATGTTTGCGTATCTAAATGTCACTTTAGTTTCTGCGTTGAAAAAAGGTAAATGACTTTGTTACAGAACAAACGGAGTAATCCGAATTATAATTGGGAAAGCACTTGTGGTAAATGGAAACAGATTTCAAACTGACTGCACAAATAAGTAGTGAATTGAGGGGAGAAATTACAAGTTGTGTTCGGCATGGGACACAAATAAATAAATAAATAAATTGTTTATTCCTCGGGGATGCGAGAAGCTGTTCCCTAAAAGGAACAGATCAAATAATGGTACTTCCTTTCAATGACATTGCATAATTACATTTTTGGAAATAAACGGGGGAGCGATTGCAAATTAAGTAACACAGAGTAATCAGAATCGTTCTGCTATTTTTTTCCTACTCCTATAAGCATGAATCAGCAGATTTTGTGAAGACAGAGGCTGATAGTACGTATGGCTCCTCTATCCTCGGATAGCAACGCACATATAGTAGATATCCTTATTTACCAAAATACATTTCGTGCACTTAAACAATATGTAAGATAAGAGCACAGCTTTTAAAGCGCTGTAGGGTTTGCCAGAACAACGAGGCTTTACTTTAAGAGTTCTGTTCTGTTTTCAGAATTTTTGTAATTAGACTAAACAAAACAATGATCAGCATCTCAAGACAGGGAGCTTCGTCTTGACTAATGGATAACTTTGTTGTAACTTCCTACTTCGAAATCCGTCGAAACTAATTACTTATTCTGCGCGAGTAAGATGAAACATTCCAGCTAAGTTCGTAAGCGTTGAGGGAGTTGCTTGTTAGGCTTTACAGGTAGATATCCTTAAATAATAATGTCCACGTCCAGTAACGCTTTATAGGGCAATCTTCTTTACTGTAATAAGCAATACTGCGTAAGCGTAAAAATTATTGTTGCACGAGGTGTGTTGCATTTGATAATTCGAGTGCAGAAGAAGTACAAAGTAATTTCCAGTGGTTCTTGTTTTGCTCGCGTTGAGAGAAATATGTCACGGACGTATAGATAATCGGCTGTGCAGAGCAATCTGAGATCTTCCGGATAACGAGCATTGAATACCATGGTAATAAGAGTAGGCTAACCAAGATGCCATTTCAGCAACAAGAATATTTGGAACTTTAAGATCCTCTGAGAGGGCGATCGCAAAAGCCGCTGCCACAGGTGAGGACTGAACTCAATGCATTCAGATTATAAGACGAACAAGGTAACAGACTAAATGACTAGGGCGTGAGCAGGAATTTGTGAAAGAGGATTTCATACCCTTCACACTGGTTTTGAAACCTTAGCGCTTGATAACACGAATTTGGCCAGATATCATCGACTGGTGTTATATTATTGATAGTATAGCAATTGCGAGTAGCGAACTGAGATTGGGATCGGATGCTGTGATTTATCTATGTACCAGAAGCCTGTGCGCTTTCCACCAATTTCAGCAATTTACACGGTTAATCCCTACATACAGTATAAACGACAACAGTTCTATGGACGCAAAAAGAAATTAGCACCCAAAGTATTGCTATCAATTCCCTTATAGGACACAGTATACTTCATGGATCACATATAAAGGATGCACGTCAAAAGCAGCCTCCGTTGTTTTCAAGCAAGTGCAGTCGTCATTTTCCATCAAGTGTGCTGGGTTAGTCACGAGCAAAATTATAACTATTCAAAAGCTGCACCTCCAACGCAGTAATCCCCAATCTAAACAAGACAAAAAGTATCTGAAACTTATTCCTGTCGTACATGCTAAAAGGAATTCAGCAGGTATTATAATCTTGTATTAATAAAATGCGTTAGTAAAAATCCTTGTTAACTGGTACACTTCAAGACAGAATTAAAAACAAGTGGGCAAAGACAGCTGAAGATGCTCGAATGAATGGCTAATTTCTCCTTCCGATGTATCTAGTTATCTGACTTTGAGTTAAAAATGCAAAAATTTAATGGATGCTTGTCTTCAGGTTCTTTGATATTTGTCCCAAAAGCTTACCGTTAATAGCCAATTAATATTTAGTTGCATTTCATTTGCGTTCACAGTGATAAACAAATGTAGACCGGCAGCAGACCTTCAGCCTACTCAAAGAACTGTAGTCTGAGTTGAGACGATAAGTATTACATTGTCTAGGATGTTAGCAACCAGAATATAGGAGATGTGTTAAGAGATACCATACTTCACTTTAAACACTGTACTTCTCTTTGTAAAACACTAAGCACTCTCACCCTCATAGTAGTCCCCTCTGCTGTTAATATACATTTCTCAGCGGTGCTTCCATATTTGGATGTCACGCACTTACTGGAATGACGAGCGCGTCACTTGTCGCATAGTCTTCAATATACAGTATGGTTTGGAAACGATTTCCTTTAAAAGGATTTAGC